TGAATTAATTATCAATGCTGCCAAAACAAAGAAAAAAGAAGTAACGGACAAAGAAAAAAAATTATAAATAGAGGAGTCCATTGCCATTAACTTATCATTCATACATACATTCGATACTTGAGAACTTGAGAGAGACTAAAAATGGCGACTTTCTCTGGTTTAAACCTTCTCTTCTTCTCCTTCTTCATAGCTTCAGGTATACACACACACATACATTTCGCTCTTCTCTACTAAATTTGTAATAAATCATTTTTCTTATACATGCAGAAAATATAGTAATAATCTATAATAATATATATTGACTAATTTCGATTTGTTGTATTTATGTTTGAAGGAGCAATCTCCGTCGTGTCCGGCACCGTCTTCACGATAAGGAACAACTGCAGATTCACCGTCTGGCCGGGAATTCTCACCGGACAAGGTGCACAACTCAGCGACGGTGGATTCACCTTATCACCAGGAGCTTCCGTCGCCATAACCGCACCTGCGGGTTGGTCCGGCCGAATATGGGGACGAACCGGCTGCAACTTTGATGGCTCCGGCTCCGGATCATGCCAAACCGGAGACTGCGGAAACAAACTAAAATGCAACGGCGCCGGAGGGAAACCACCGGCAACACTCGCCGAGTTCACGATCGGAACCGGCGGGGCTAAGGATTTTTACGACGTGAGCCTCGTGGACGGTTACAACGTCAAGATGGGAATCACAACGCAAGGCGGTTCGGGCGATTGTCAAAACGTTGGATGCGTTTCCGACTTGAACGCGATTTGTCCCAACGATTTACGCGTTTCGAACGCGGGCAATGTTGTGGCGTGTAAGAGTGCTTGCGAGGCGTTTGGTAAACCGGAGTATTGTTGTACCGGTTCGTTCAGTACACCGCAGACTTGTCCGCCTACGAATTACTCGAGGATATTTAAAGGAGCTTGTCCTAAAGCGTATAGTTACGCGTACGACGATGCTTCGAGCACTTTTACTTGTGCTAATGCTAATTACGCTATTGTGTTTTGTCCCTAAGTAATATATCTTATGTTAAAAACCGCGGAATTGTGGAATCGCGGAAAATAAAACGATTTTTGCGGAATGAAAATATAGATTCCGTAGATTGAAATTATAATAATATGAATAAAATTGCAGATTGAAATTAATGATGTGTTATGGGCTAACTTTTGCGTAATGGCATAATATATTACAAGTATAGACTGAAACATGATCTTTTGAAACATATGTTTAACATTAATTAGACATATGTTTAATATTCAATATTTTTGTTTTGACATGAATAATTTTACTTACTCAATAAATGCTAAAGATTTACATATATAAAAAATCATAGCTTTTTTTCTTTTGATTAAAATAAAAAATCATAGCTAGCATTGATAAAAAGATTTTTCTCAAAAAAAAGAAAGAAAGCATTGATAAAAAGATGTTTGTTATACGTAAAACACGTATACGTATGTAGTTGTCGATTTGTCGTCTTACACATTTATTACTATTTTTAGAAGTCAGTTGTATTTAATATTTATTACCTATGATGGAAACTTCACCATGTGATGGGGTTTCGGCGGTTTTTTCAAAACTGGACCAGATCGACGGTCAAACTGGATTGAACAGTGAATCTATATATAAAATAAGTTTTTTTTCTTTTCATGCATATCACTATTTTATTAGTTATACTAGAGGGCCCAGGTTTTTCATAATACTTTTTGTAAATATATTATTTCATATTTATAGAATGAATATTATAAAAGAAACTAAACTTATTAGAAATTAAAACTTACTCCACTTTTAATGCCCAAAAAAT